CCCGGGTCAGGGAAAATAGGGACGAGGGACATTTCTTCGCACCTCATTAAGCGTGCCTCCAACCAAGGCGCGAAGTGACCCCAATTATGAGTGAAGGCACAGAGGTCACTTGCTACGCCTTGTCTCTAGAGATCGACATAAGAGATTGGCATATTGGAAAAAAAACTATCAGAAATACGGAAAAGGCAACCTGGGAGACAAAACAAGTGTCATTTACTCGCAATGAAATTGTGGAAAACAACAGTGGACTGATCACCAGTGTATGGCGTAGCCTCAAAACTATAGGACTAAAATAGTTTTTAGTAGATTCAGATGCAAAAACGAGATGAAATGGGTGGTTTGAAAGATGGGCAGGGTAGAACGAACGCTCCAATACGGTTAGCAATGCTTTCTGGATTCCTGTAGATTATAGAAGAACGACAAGCTGTGGATGTTCATCATAGCTTTTTGGCCAAGTTAAACTTCGCATTTTGGGGAAACATTTCAATTTTTCACCGAACAGTGCCCAGAATTTCGGTCTTCCTTCAAATCCATTCTTTCAATGGATGTTGTTTAAGATTTGTGGAAGATTTTCCGAGGTTATTCCTGAATGGAGAATCAAAGAAACCTTGTTTGTGAGGAGAAATTCTCTCAAAACTGAGACATTTTTTGATCGAAAGTGTAGCCACGTCCACTGGAGCAAGAACAGTTCCTTTGTTCGTTATTCCTTACTTTGTGTCTGCGTTTCTCCAAATGTTTTTCGCTTCATATGAGTCTAATGAAAAGAAAAACCTTTAATCAGGAAAGAAAAACTCGAAATAAAATAAACAGAAAGTAAGACACGACAGACAAAAGAACTGATGTTGCTCCAGTGGACGTGGCTACACTTTCGAGCAAAAAATGACTCAGTTTTCGAGAGAATTTCTTTTCACAAACAAGGTTTCTTTGATTCTCCATTCGAAGAATGACCTCGGAAAATCTTCAACACATCCCAAACAATATCCATTGAAAGTTTAATTTTGAAAGAAGACTGGAATTCCGGGCACTGTTCGATGAAATTGAAATGTTTCCCCAAAATGCGAAGTTTAAATTGACCAAAAAGCAATGATGAACATCCAGAGCTCTTCGTTGTTCCATAACCTACAGGATTCCAGAAAAGATTGTTAACCGTATTGGAGCTTGACTTAATTTTTTCGCAAATGACTGCTTGACGATTCCTGGTCCCTTTCTGCTCAAATTTCACCCTTTTTCGAAATCCAGCTGTCTTTTTCATTTTGTGGGAACATTAAGGTGAAAGTCTGATTACTGCAAATCAGTTTCATGAAGCAAAAATGAATTTCAACGGAGAAACACGGGGTGGCTGTATCATTTTTGAACGTAGGAAAATCGACCTCTCCTGAAAAAATAAGCACAAAATTCTTCAATGTTTTCGACATGGATTTTTGTTCGTATCTGAACTCGCCATGAAATTTGTCACATTTCCTATCTGGGATTCCCAGAAACTCTTTGAAGCTTTAAGTGCCAGGCGGGGGCAAGGGGGACAAGTTATTACGGTGGCTGTATCATTATTGAACGCAGTGTATATCACGAACAAAATTATATAATATTTTTGTGTTTACATGTTGATTCCATATGCTATATATGAGAGATCTTACAGTCAATCAATAATAATAACTAATAAAATTTTCCTAATACTTAATTTTTACTGAATCGCAGTATGTATCATAAACTTCTAATGATAGCGCTTTTCCAATATGCCAATCTCTTATGTCGATTTCTAGAGACAAGGCGTAGCAAGTGACCTCTGTGCCTTCACTCATAATTGAGGTCACTTCGCGCCTTGGTTGGAGGCACGCTTAATGAGGTGCGAAGAAATGTCCCTCGTCCCTATTTTCCCCCTCCCCGGGATCCCTCCCTCGTTGGTGAGGGGAGGGATCCCCAACCTTGGGGATATGTCCCCAACCTTGGGGATATATCCCCAACCTTGGGGATATATCCCCAACCTTGGGGATATATCCCCTACTTCGTCGCAAGACCCATCGTTTTTCGGTGGCTCCTGTGACGCAACCGTGCGGGACGGTCACTGCCGTCGACCCTCTGCGTCTCTGCAGGCAGGGGATACATCCCCCTAGTCGAGACTAGGGGGATTCGTCCCCTCACTTGGCGACGCGGAGAATTGAAGGCAGTTTCGGGTTTCTTCACCCTCTATTTCGCTTCGTTATTCGCATTTCTTTTTTCGCCATTACCTTGCCTTTGTTCATTCGCTGTTTTCGGACCTGAATTTTTCCCCGTGGAGAAATTTTACTTCTAGCTATTGTTTATTACTTGTGAGCATATAGGTATCATTATGGCTAAATTTGGAAGCTATTCGATCACAAACAAAGAAACTGAAAAGCTTTGAAAATTAATTCGAAGTTTCATAGTTGTGTCGAAAAAGATTATAATCTTGCATAATATTATAACCCATAATTTTGATTTAGGAATGGATCCACTTCAAGTATTTTAAGACAAAGTCACACTTACTTGGCCGGTTGCGGGGGTCAGCGCCCATTCACTGTTGCACTTGTACACAAATACTTGCAATACTAACAGCAATAAACAATGAAATGGCCGGTTAAGCTCATAATTAGGAAGGGGAAGGTTGACTGAAGCAAACTCTAGCAGAATTAGAAAAACTATGCTGTTTCAGCGGAAATGCAAGCGTTTGAATTTGGTGGTGGCAATTGCCACCGCCAGGGCCGAAAGGGTTAATGTTGATATGTATCTGATTCTTTTCGCAAATTTGAATATTCGATAATTTTAAAACTGTGAACAGTGCTTAGAAAACAGCGAATGAACAAAGGCAAGGTAATGGCGAAAAAAGAAATGCGAATAACGAAGCGAAATAGAGGGTGAAGAAACCCGAAACTGCCTTCAATTCTCCGCGTCGCCAAGTGAGGGGACGAATCCCCCTAGTCTCGACTAGGGGGATATATCCCCTGCCTGCAGAGACGCAGAGGGTCGACGGCAGTGACCGTCCCGCACGGTTGCGTCACAGGAGCCACCGAAAAACGATGGGTCTTGCGACGAAGTAGGGGATATATCCCCAAGGTTGGGGATATGTCCCCAAGGTTGGGGATATATCCCCAAGGTTGGGGATCCCTCCCCAAACGAGGGGATGGATCCCCAACCTTGGGGATATGTCCCCAAGGTTGGGGATATATCCCCAACCTTGGGGATATATCCCCAAGGTTGGGGATATATCCCCAACCTTGGGGACATATCCCCAAGGTTGGGGATCCATCCCCAAGGTTGGGGATCCATCCCCTCGTTGGGGAGGGGAGGGATCCCCAAGGTTGGGGATCCCTCCCCTCGTTTGGGGCTTGCTGCACCGCCCTGCATCTCCGAATAGCGGTCTGATCATTGTACATATGTTACATTTTGTCTAGGGCGCATTTCGGCAGTTTCTTCTAACACGCACCATTGATTTCATAGATCTGTCCCGATGACGCATAGAATGAATTTTTGGCTATGCTATTTTAAGGCTAGCGACATACTTTTTTTGACCTTTTGTCTTCTAGTTTTTGATCTAGAACTACTACCCGTAGCAGTCCCTCGTCGGATAGGCCGTCTTAATCGTGTAGGGTCGATGGGTTAAAGTAACAATATTCTCACAAGTGGAGTGAATGGTCCTCTTAATTGAACATGGGAAGGAGCGGTCAACACTGAAGATAATGTAAATGTTTAGGTTATCCACCTTGGAGTTTCTCCACTCCTAAGCTTATTCTCAGGTCTCTGAAGCAATTTTGAGCCTAACCGCAACTCTGGCGCAATAAAACGTAACCCACACCCCATTCTGTGGCACATGACTCGTTATATGATAAGCATTATTCAGTATACGTACGTAATCCGCTTCGATCATGACTGCAGGTTTGAAGTCATGTAAAGGTTATTTTTACACTCAAATACCCCTTATCCAATCAATAAGATAACGATGCAAACGATCTGGGATCCCATTCCATCCTCCTCCCTCTCGCACGTCTATGTTTTGGAATAGCCTGATGTGACCCGGATAGTTTCTACGCTAAAGCTCCATTGAACAAAGTAATCCAAATCCAAATATATGTGATATGTGATCAAGGCCAAGGAACTTTAAACTGTCCGTGAACTAAAGTGCCGTCAGCTGTGATATGCGAGACATTTCGCGTTTGCGCTGGAAAATTTTGTTAGGTTATTTCTAGCTCTCATTTTATTTTCAATCGAGGGTTGGTGTTTTGTAAGTAGTTATTTCATAGGTATACAGTATGTAAGTCAAAAGACAGACAGGTCCAGGCATATGGTAGATGGCACATTATCCGTATTATGGTGTGTCTTTAACAGTTTATGTATCCGCTAAGCGCTTGGCAGCTTTAATTAGTCTTTTTTTGGAATACAAACTAACATTTTCATTGCAGGTATGATGTATAAGTAGTCACTCAGAAAATCTAGTCAATATGTCAACTGCTGTGCTTTCATTTATTCGAGGAATCGACTTTTCTCGGAAATGATTTTTTCGGTGAGTTATTTATATGATTATTTACAGGCGAACAGTTTGTCAGCTCACGTTTATTAGAGTTAACTAGATTCTTTTTGAGGTAGTGCACTTTCAGTCTTTATTTGTTTAAAGGGGATCGCTTTCCCCATCGCGCCGTCGAGCAAATAAAACGCAAGATGACATGCAAAAGTTAAACTGCGGCGAAACTGGAACGAGTAAAGGACGATTGGCTCGTTTTTTCGAAAGGAATCAACTCTGACATAGTGGTGACTGTGTCTTCTTCATGATGTGATGACTGCTTAAGGTGTCAGATGAGATTTCTCAGGATGTACAATCTTGAAGCATCTTTCAAATGTCCAGGAACTCTTCGAAGTTCCATGGCGAGCTCTCATCGACCTCCTGCGATTAGATCTGTAATGCGTGGCGGCCAATACCAGGTAAGTTCTGTTATTCTATTTCATGGCCAGTCGAGCGAATAGCTGTTCTTCGTTCCATGGTTGGTCGGTACAGTTGAATTCAGTGGGAAAGTTGCTCTGGAGGAAATTAAAATGGTACAACTGAACCATTTTTTCTGATCATCAAAAAATGCAGCCGCAGAGGGGATCTCTTGGGGAAGCTTCATGGGTAAAGAGTGTTTTGGAATTTTTTCTGACACTCATTGGGTATTATGGCGCATTTATAGTCGGTCGCCCGATCGTGATCGCCGTAACGACCGCACAGCACTGGATGCGTATCGATTGTACAATACCCGAACATGTCTGACGTTCGATAAACGTCCAATGCTGTGCGACCGCTACGATCGTTGCGGCCAGACAACCGACTATGAACGGCTACTCCTTGATGTTATTCACATCTGGTGCTTCTTGTTTGATTTCACTAAAACATTGCTCCTCTCAAATGGTGAGCCATATTGTCTTTTTGCGAATATGCGAAAATGAGCTGTAATTGCATTAACCAGGTGTATGTGACAGATAGGCAAACGCTGCGTTGATACTGGAGCTTGCTGATAGTTCTCTCACGGCCGAAGCAATTATTTTTCGTCCTTTTCTGCATCGGGGTTCTCTTAATATTGGCGTAAATTCTTACCTATTCTTCATCCTGTTTTCAGCCTTTTTAGCAATTTATTAATTTCAGGTCAAAACGGCTGGCATACCTACTGATATCTTTCGCATGAAAGACTTGACTATTATTGACTTTTCACATAATCAACTAAGAGAAGTCCCTCCGAATCTCGAATATGCCAGAGGTGCTATAGTCCTTAACCTAAGTCACAACAACATTGAGAACATACCAAACCAGGTGGGTCATGACCTTCTACATCATAGTCAGGCATAAAATATTCGTTCCCGATGTTCTCAATTAGCTTTCTTAGGGCTGTTTAGGAATCTCCGTATTTTTCAGGTGTTCTCAAATCTCATCGACTTGCTGTTTTTGGATTTATCGAATAACAAATTGGATATGCTACCTCCTCAAATCCGTCGGCTCACCATGGTGCAAGAGCTTAAGCTGTCGAATAATCCGCTCCACATTTCCAGTCAAACAGCTCCAAGTGGAAGTTCTAATCTTTCACTTTGTCATTGCTTGCTTTTTGATTTGCACGCTATCAATTTTCTCACAACTATCAAACGCGTTTTGTTGCAGCATGACATCCCTTCGTGTCCTACATATGCGTAACACCAATAGGACTCTGGAAAACATTCCTCCATCTTTAGATGATCTAGAGAATCTTAGGGTGAGTTGTTCTTGAATTGAAGTGTTATTCAGCGAAAGTAGGTAATTCTGTGCAGGATATCGACTTTGCTGAAAACAACCTTCCTGCCATACCAGAAGCTTTGTTCAAGTTGAAAAATCTGAGGAAGTTGGACGTCAGCGGGAACAAGGTTCTTTCTAGTTTTTCTTTCTTAATGTACGAGTTGTTATTGAGAACCTCACTGTTTTGAAGATCGAGAAGATAACAATACCTGAAGGGAGCTGGGAAATGTTGGAAACATTGAATATCAGCGGAAACGGTATGACTTCTCTGCCCGATGGACTTGTTAGACTGACAAAGTTGCAAAGGCTCTACGCTAGTGATAACCATCTTACCTTTGAAGGTTCGTTCAGAATTCTTTCTGATTGCGCACTCTCTTGCATGTGATAGAGTTGTGGTACGTCGGCTCTTTTTTGTATTGTTCAGGAATACCAAGCGGCATCGGAAAGCTCGTACAGTTGATAGTTCTCCATCTAACACGAAACAATTTGGAGTTAGTACCAGAGGGAATTACGCGGTGTGTTCGCCTCCAGCGGCTTCGACTAAACCATAATCGGCTCATCACTCTACCCGATGGTATACATCTCCTCCCTGATCTCAAAGAACTCGATCTCACTGAGTGAGTTGAAGATTTTTTCAGTCAATCGTTTAGTGGTCGCCCTTCTTTTCTGAGCCCGAATTTCTGATTTTTGATCGTGTTATGCGGGCAAATCAAGTAGACCTCATTCTCTGTTTCGCTTTTGTCCTCTGCAGCGTTTTTAAACCATGCTTACCAGTAGCTGTACCCATGATTCGTTCTTTTTTGCAAATAGGTGTAGATATGGTTCATCTTTTTTGTACCCCTTGTCAGTTTCAATGGCATAGTACGAAAGTAACATAAAGAAGAAATATTTAAAGCACTTGGCTCCTGTAAAAATTCTCAAATTTCCTAGAGTTTTGAAGAGGCCCTTCAGAAAGGCTAAATGCATATTCGGGAATATTCATCAAGTTTTATGCGCTTCCCAATTTTGTGTCTGCATGATTGGACGTTTTTTTGTGACGAAAAATGCTGCCAAGAATGCAACATGTTGTATAAAGGTGAATCACAAATCAATTCCATCCGTGTTAGTGACATCTCCAAAAACTTTTTCTGAGGAATAGCATTAGGTGCTGACGGAGCAGCGTTGCCCGTTTATGTGCACTTTCTTAACAGCTCATACTTTCCTCTCCCAGACCCTTTAACTTTAAATATTTTCGATTATGCCTTCTTCGGGACTTATTGGGAACCCTTGACCGGAGGGGCAATTTGCTTCGCTCTTCCTAAGTTTTCAAAGTCTTGCAATTAGGTTCAGGAGTAGTTTCTTGTTATTGATTATGAGGACTAGAAGATCGCACGAGCTAATCTTAATAGTGGCAAACATTTCGTATTTGCAGTAACGACGATCTAGTCATGC